AATGACACCAAGTACTCTGGCCTGCGGGGCGGGTTTGATGGGGGCGTTGTTGGACATGATGGAGAAGTCAATGGGGGGTGGTGTCCGGGCTGGAGGGAAGACAAGAAACTCGGTTTTGGAGAGGTTCAGTTTAAGGAAGTGGAGCGACATCCAGTCTGATATGTCGCTCAGTAGGTGTGTGATTCGGGCAGAGACCGAGGGGGTGAGGTGGGGGGTTGATAGATAGATTTGTGTGTCGTCGGCATAGAGGTGGTAGTTGAAGCCGTGAGAGTGTATGAGTTGGCCAAGGGAAGAGGTGTAGATGGAGAAGAGAAGGGGCCCGAGGACAGAGCCTTGAGGGACCCCAACAGAGAGGGGGAGTGAGAGGGAGGTGGTGGCATTATAGGTAACGCTGAAAGAGCGTTGTGACAGGTAGGATGAGAGCCAGGAGAGAGCAGAATCTTTGAGGCCGAGGGAGTGTAGTTTTTTGAGGAGGAGGGGGGTGGTCGACCTGTGTCAAAGGCCGCAGAGAGGTCAAGGAGTAGGAGCACTGGATAGTGGCCATTAGCTTTGGCGGTTAGCAGGTCGTTGGAGAGTTTGAGTAAGGCCAGTTTCGGTGGAGAGTAGGGGACGGAAAGCCAGACTGTAGGGGATCGAGGAGGTTGTTGTCGTTGAGGTGAGAGCATAAGGCGGGCGTAGGAAAAGGAAAGAAGAAGTAGACTAGGCGCTCGAGGAGTTTAGATGTAAATGGGAGCAGGGAGATGGGTCTGAGGTTGTTTGGGTCTATTGGGGTCCAGAAGGAGGACTTTTTAAGTATGGGGGTGATGTGTGCATGTTTTCAGAGGGGAAGGGAAAGTGCCGGAGGAGAGAGGGAGAGATTGAAGATGCGGGTGAGGATCGTTTAGGTTGGAGGGGGAGGGAGGTTGTAGGAGTTGTGTGGGGATAGGGTCAGGGTGGGGGGGCAGGTGGTGAGATGCGGGCTAGCATCAGAGAGGATCTTGGAGACTTCTTCGATGGTAGAAAGGTCAAAGGTGGCTGGAGTGTTGGGGAGCTTCAGTATGAGGAATGTAGGTGGCTGGGGTGGGTGGTGAGAGGTCAGAGAGCAGTGGTGGGGCCGTGGAGAGGGGTGTAGAGGGGGTTAGCTGATGTGAGGGGAAGGGTTGGAGAGGGAGTTTGAGCAGCGAAACGAAGTTCCTTGTGGGTTATGTCGAGGGGAGAGAGGGGTGATGAGGGGGGTAGCTGGTGCGGGGGGGGTGTGAGAGGGGACGGGTTTGAGAAGGCGTGTGAGTTGCGGCAATTCCTTGCGAATTGTGTCAATCTTGTTTTTGAAGTGATTGGCAATCTCAAGGGCCGTGAAGTGAGGTGCTGGGTGGAGGTGTGGAAGGTGGCGAGAGTCTAGAGAGTTGGAAGGTGGAGAAGAGTCGTTATTGCGAGGATTGGAGGAAGGGCCTTATGAGGGTCAGGGAAGTAGGCTTGATTTGGGCAGTATGGAGGGAGGAGGTGTAAAGGTGTGGAAGGGCAGATTTGTATGTCAAGTGTGAAGGCTTGCATTGCGTTCGGATTTGGTTTCTTGCGCCATAGTCGCCTCCAGGGCACGACTGAGTGGTCGTTAGGAGTGAGGGTTTTGGTGTGATCAGTCTGCCAGGGGCTGGAGCGGTCGGGGTCTGATGTTGCTGAGGTTTTAAAGGCGTTAGTGGTTTCAAGGGCTGTTGACAGCGCATTGTTGTAGGCGGTCATAGCCAAGTGGTCTTATGGCAGGGAGCTCAAGATGGAGGATGCGGGGTCATAGAGTTGAGATCAACTGCGGAGTGGAGGGAGACCGGCAGTTCGTGTGAAGGTTGCGGAGGGCATTACGGCTGCGTAGATAAGGTTGTACTTACATTTGGCAGGGAAAGGATAGGCGTTAGAGAGGATGAGGAGATAGAGGAAAGTAATCAGGTTGTGGTCAGAGAGGGGAAGGGGGTGTTAGTGAGTTTGTGGGATATTGGAGCGCAGCGGTTGGAGAAGGACAAGAGGAGGATCAAGGGATATTACCGTCGGAGTGTGGGTTAGGTGGATTTGTAAGCACTGTGCAAGTGCAAAGGAGTAGGTTAAGTGGAGGAGACGGGCTGTGTCCGGGTTGTCGAGGTTGACAGGGATGTTGAAATCCCCCAAGCGAAGATAGTGTGGTAGCTCAGAGGAGAGGAAGAAGGGTAGCCAGGAGCGAGAAGTCTTCCAGGAAGAGGATCGCACCAGGGGTGGATGGATCCAGTGAGAAGCCGTTATGCAATCTTCAGGGTTAGGAATCTAAAGAAGGATTCCAGAATGGGGGTGAATGGGGGTGAGAAGGGGGAGCAAGGTGAGGAAATAGCAGTGGGCCTCGAAGGAGGTTTGAAGGAGTAGGGAGGGGGGGGGGGGGGAGAGGGGGGGACTCGGGTTGGAAGGGGGTGCTGATGGTAGCATTCGTGGTGACAGGAGCAGTGATGTTGCAACCCCACACCACCCTTTCCCCCCGAATGGGGACCGAGTTGGGCCTGGGTGAGGTGGACAACACAGGTGAGACCGCCGGAGATGCACGATAGGAGATGTGCCAGCAGGGGAGTAGAGTCAGTGGGATGTTTTGGATCCAGTAGGTTTCCGTAAATCGCCAGGGTTGAGGTTTTAGGGGAGCGGGGGTAAACAAAGATGGTCAGTGGGGCCCGAGGCGTATAAAGCTTGCTGCACACCGATCGGCATAGCAATTCAGGAGTGCACATGCTAAAACGGGGGGGAGATTTTAGGGAAGCAGGGGGACAGAACTAAGAGTTGCGGGTGGTTGCGGCAGGACGTGGAGCGGCCAGGGGTTTATGTGCGGGAGTGGAGGTGAGGGTGATTGGGAGGGCCCAGGATTCGGGGAGTGATGTTACCCCCGCGTGAATATGATGAGGAGAAGGGTGAGAAAAGGTGGCAATGGGAGCGGGATGTAGCAAGCGTGCGAATGGGAGAAACTACTAGTGGAGGTGTTCGGGTCACAGTGGGCAGAGTGGAGTAATAGGTCAGGAGGAGGTGGTGGGTGCCATAGAGGGGTGAGGGAAGCAGTTGAGGGCACAATATACAAATGTTTGGGAGGAGCAGGGGATATAGTGAATGGATTTTGGGAACAGAGGAGAGGAAAACTGAGAAGGAGGAGTGGAAGAGGCCATTTTGGGTGAGGTGATGAAAGCAATAGTGTGGAGATGATATATAGCAATGAGGGGTAGGCATTTCTACAAGTTTTGGGGATGGAGCAGAATGGGGTAAGAGAAATGAGATTTGGGAACAGAGGATAGTAATATGAATGAAGGAAGTGAAGAGAGGGGTGCATTATATGCAGAAAATGTGCACGGAGTGGGACTCAGGTATGTAAGAGATGTTTCCCAGGTAGTTGTTTCCTTGCAGTTCTGTCCAGCATGCAGTTGAGTTTCTTGCTGTTGTTGTGTCTTCCTGCTGCTTAAGTTGAAGTGCTGTGTTTAACTGCTCTGCATCATTTCAAGCCGCACTCCATCATAAGCAGCACCCCCCTCAGAGACTGTGCCCCCCATCAGAGATCTCCCCCCCATGAGCTGAACTAAAATTTATAGGGAGATGCTCAAATGATGCATTCAACTCCGCCCCAATTAGAAGCTGATAAGGCTCAACATGGAATAGTGGGGGATGTTTCTTAGGAACCAGGCCACAGTCATAAACCTGAGTGCGCCTAAGAGGTGAGGACAAGTCAACAGATACACAGATATAATTACAACATTTGTTGAGAATTTAACAGGAGTCAATGCGTTTGTCTGGTTAAGAAGAGGGAGGTAGCAGATAAATGCAGTTACCTGTGAAAGTAGAGAAGGCATAATTAAAGTGCTGTGTTTAACTGCTCTGCACTCATTCAAAGCCGCACTCCATCATATAAGCAGCACCCCCATCAGAGACTGTGCCCCCCCCATCAGATATATATGTGTGTGTGTGTATATATAATATATTTAGATTTTGAAATATGTAGAATATGGCTAAAATTGTAGCATTTTAAGTATATGGCAATATATTTGGGAAGAATATTTTTTTAATATATTTCAAATATATTTTTCTTCCATATGGGTAACACCTTGTGCAAGGACGTAATTACCACAAATAAAAATGCTGCCCGGAGCAGCACAAAACCGACATACACCAGTGACCTTGTGCACTCCTGCAATACCTAGGTGTCAGAGTTCACTGGTGATCTTGTCCAGCAGTGTCCCATAAAAACAGATGGATGGCAAAGTCCTTAAAAGTGTATATTTTGTACCACACCACCATCTAGTGGACAAACAGCATCACTGTTTATTACATTGAACATGGCAGTACAACCAGTGTAATTATAGCAAGATGAGCAATAAGGACCTAAAAATCCACAAACAAAAATACACTGAAGTAGAACGCTGTCTTCTTGAACTATAAGGTATTTACATACAGGTGTACCTTGATTTATGAATGTAATTCTTTCTAAGGGACTTTACATACTGTGAACAATTCGTAAACTGAAACGTGGTTTCCCATAGGAATGCATTGAAAACCAATTAATCCGTTCCGGAGGTCAGAAAAAAGTCAAAAAAAGTTGTATGTGTTCAAACTCTTTATAAGTTGCACTTTAAAGGCATAAATACTGTGATTAAAAAATAATTTTTTCTGTAAATGCATTGAAAACCAATTATAATCCCGTTCCAGAGGTCAGAAAAAAGTGAAAAAAAAAGTCTTATCTGTTCAAAACTCTTTATAAAGTGCACTTTAACCACTAGCCTACAGGGCACTTATACCCCCTTCCTGCCCAGGCCAATTGCGCGGTCATGCAAACACTGTACCCATGAAATGAAATTTTTATAATTTTTTTGTGGGCAGATAGAGCTTTATTTTGGTGGTATTTAATCATCTCTGGGTTTTTTATTTTTTCTTAAACAAACCAAAAACCACTGAAAATTTTGAAAAAAAAATGTTTTTTCTTAGTTTTTTGTTATAAAATGTTGTAAATAAGTGAGTTTTTCTCCTTCACATGATGTGCGCTAATAAAGCTGCAGGGATGGGCACTGATGGGCTGCACTGATGGACACTGATAGGTGGCACTGATGGGTACTGATGAAGAGGCACTTTTAGGTAGGTGGCACTGATGGGCACTGACAGGCATCACTGATGGGCTCTAAAAGGCAGCACTCATTAATGGCACTGATAGGCAGCACTGATAGGCAGCACTGACGGACACTGATAGGCGGCACTGATGCACACTGATAGGCGGCACTGACTGGCACTGATAGGTGGCACTGATTTGGCAGCACTGATAGGTGGCACTGACTGGCATTGATAGGTGACACTGACTGGCACTGAAGGGTGACACTGAGAAGGCAGCTTAGATGGGCACTGATATCTGGCATTGATTGTGGCACTGATGGGCATTGAAATGTGGCACTGATGGGCACTGGCAGGTGGCAATGGATGACCACCGAGAGCTGGCACTGATGGACACTGACAGGTGCTGCTGGGGCACACTGTGTACATGTCCCCTCCGAGGCATGCCGATTACCGGCTCTCCTCTCCTCACGAGCTGTCAGCTCGTGAGTAGGGAAATGCCAATAACCGGCATTTCCCTGTTTACATGTGATCAGCTGTGATTGGACACAGCTGATCACATGACCCGAGCCAACATCTTCGGCTCTTTCTGTGGATCGGTGATCCACTGTGTCCGAGGGACACAGCGCACCACAGATCGTCGCGCTGCGCGCACTTCCGGGAGCCGCACATGCGCGGTTAGAATGGGGAGGACGTCATAATGACGTTTTTCTCCCAGAATGAGAGAACCACCTTGGGCCCGTCATTACCATATATGGTTGGGCGGTGGGAGGCGGTTAAAAGGCATAAATAATGTACAGGGACATGATTAAAAAAAATTCATAAATTCCATAAATAAGCATTGAAAACCAATTAATCTGTTCATATTGCAATAAAAATTCATAAACCAAGCCATTATTTTCTTTTACAAGGGATTTTATTATAGAAAAGACAACATCAGAGAAACAGTCATAAACAAGATCACTGGCCAACAAAAAAAAGACATACAAGTTTTCTGGTGAATAGTACCATGAATGCACTGAAGTAGAAACAAGGATACAAGCGGAGTACACAAGCACAGTATATGAAAAGGTAATATAGACCATGTTGATTTGCAAAAATGGCAGGCAATTTGAACCAATGAACTAGTAAACATAGAGCCAAGATTATCACAAAGTCCACAAACAGAGGGCAGGAGAAAAAAAAAACACAAAGCCTCACTGAGTGTACATTGGTACTCCATGCTCAGGACTCCAAAGGAAGTCCAACAGGTAGATACAATATTGCTGGTACGGTTCTTAGAGAAAGAAGTCACAATCAGCGCAAATATCATGAAAACTGGCAGAACAGAGAAGAGAAAGGAGTAGAACGAAAAGACAAAAGACAAAGAAAGGTCTCCAGGGTATAGCAACGGGAAAAAAATCTTACATCGACAAAAGGGATTGGTCAAATCTAGACGGTTGGGCTATGTCAAGCCATGGGCGCCAGATCTGCAGAAACTTCATGTGAGTGTCTAACAGCCCGAGCCATTATTTTCAATGGCTTTTCATTCGTAAACTGAAAATTACATTAACCGAGGTGTTCGTAAACCGAGGTACACCTGTACAGGGAGTGGGGAATAGAGACAGGCTGCTGAACATAAGGTCCTTGTGTGCCATGTGAAGGTTTTGAGGGAGGTAGTAAAGATTGTACCAAAATAATATTCTATAAAATATATAAAATATTAATGCGGCGCAAACATATTTGCCTTCCAATTTTCATGGTTGGCGTTTTGAGCTTTTGAGTATATAGTTCTCCAAGGAATAGACCCCTTTCAAGACACAGAATGGATTCCTCCAATGATGGCTCAGACTCTCCAAGATAGTAATGACTCTTTCCGATACTCCCAACAAACATCAGATAGAAAATAAAAAATAGAGACCCGACATGGTGCAGTATCAATTTAAAATCTTTTATTTCTCTGCCCGAGCATACTACTTACAAGAAGTAAGAAGAGATAAAGCCCAAAGATGAAAGTGTTTTCAGTTAATCAGAGCGGGAAGACCGCCCAATGCTCTCACCACTGCCGGTCCTCGCTCTTGGACAATCCCACGTCACTTCCAGTTCCGGAAAAAAAGGAGTGAATTATTTGGACTTTTCATGCGTTTATATATTTTTGAAAATTAGTTGAGTTTAAGCGTCACATTAATATTTTATATATTTTATACAATATTATTTTTATATTTTCTGCATATAGTTTAATGTGGCAGCATGTTATGAGATATGTGTACATTTTTTTTATTTTTTTTAATTCATATTTATACATTCACAGAGCAGTTTGTCTTTTAGGGTTTATACATTAAAAGTTTTTTTTTTTTTTAGCAAAGATTGTACGCCCCTTGAGGGTTAGGGATTGATGTGAATGTACAATTATATATCTAAAATCACTGCGTAAAATTGATGGCGCTATATAAGTACCTGTAATAAATAAATAAAGGAAGGGAAGGAAATGGAGGGGAACATGGAAGGGAAGGAAATGGAGGGGAACATGTGAGTCAAATTAAACATTGAATTATTAACAGGCAAAATACAGGAACTGCATTGTCCAACAGTTTGACATTTCCATCAACATTAACATATGGTATCCCTTGTAAGGGCACCTCAATGGTGCAGACATGTGGCCCAAACGTTCTAGAATTTAGTGGAAAGGAATGAATCTCTTTGCAGCGATTATTATGTAGGCTGTAACACTGTAGAGGGAATTTAGTAAAACTGGAGCAGCGAGAATCTAGAGCAGCTGTGCACAATAATCTGTACGCTTCTAACATCAGCTTGTTGAGTTAAGCTTTGAAAATGAAAGCTAGAAGCTAATTGGTTGCCATATACAGCTGCTCCAGATTTTGGCTGCTCTATTTTTGGTAAATTCCCCCCCTGGGTCTGTATTGTTTAGTACATAAAGGGGTCAGATGATAATGAATAGGCAGGGGGTCATTGGAAAGGTAGTCACCAGTTATATCACCTATAAACTGACATAATGGTGTTCATTTACTAAAACTTCTAACTTCAGCTTGTTTATTTAAGCTGTGACCAAAAAAACTGGGAAGCTGATTGGTTTCTTTGCAGAGCTGCACCCCAGGTTGCACTCTCCAATTTTAGTAAATCAACCCTACTGAGTCCCAGAAATGTTTGATTTTAGGGCAATCTCACTATTTGTGGTGGAACGTACCTTCTCCAGCAGGTATCGGGAATAGCTGTAGAAATATGATCTACTTTTTTTTTTTTTTTATAACAAACATATAATACTTACCAGCTCTGTGCAATTATTTTGCACAAAGCAGCCCTGATCCTCCTCTTCTCAGGTCCCCCGCTGAATGCTCTGGGCCCCCCCTCAAGTGTCCCCCTAACAAGCTGTTTGCTATGGGGGCACTTGTGTGTGCTCGCTCCCCGAGTCCCCTCTCTCTATGTCTCTTATGAGTGAAGTGACTAGATAAAAACAGTGTAGCGCTAAATAAATATTATAATATATTATATTGTGAAAAAATATTGAAAAATATATATAAGGCCCCCCAGTGCATATAAGAGGTATAATATAAGTGCAACACGTGAATTCCCTATGGGAATAAATAAGTGCAAATGTGACCAGTGTCCTATCTAACACTCGTGACTAACATACTGTACAAACAACACATTAAACCATGAATAAAACCAATATAATGATATATGAATCCACACAAATGAATAAAATGTCCAATAATAGTGCTCAAATATAGATGCTCATGCAGGTGATGGTAAGTGTTCACTCCGTGCGAACCCTTAGTGACCAAAATGCCCCCTCACCTCCTTACATCGACCCTACAGGGTCAGCTCGCTCTGAGTATTACACCGCTCTGAAAAGTACCAGGATACCTTCCAGGTCCACTTCACAGTAATAAGCGCTTCAATCCCTTCTTATATTGCACAGCCAACAATATTCTCTGTCAAAGTGGGAATATATGAAGATCTTTGGTCTTATTGAAGGATAGTTGTGCGCTGATCTGTGTATATAAAACTGTAGAGGAGATAGGACTACAGATAAAGAGGTACAACAACTTATGTAGAAGGATTTGCTTTATCTCTGTGTATCACCTGAGGCCAGTGACTTCAGTGAGTATATGTAAGGGTTTACAACCACAATTTGGACTTGGTATCATCTAAAAAATAATTTATAACACAACTTCTGTGTGCAGAGGCAAGGCACGAGACGTGTCAAATGTAGAATTTTCTGAGAGTCAATAAAATTTAGGGCCAAATCAAATTCCAAAGAAGTAAAGTTCCGCCTGCTGTTGCCCTTGCAGAACCAGTTTATCTGAAAGGAACAGCAGGCCTTTGTGAATAGGTTCTCCTACAATGAAGTATTCAAAAGGGGTCAGGGAGTTGTACAGTCTGGCCACAGCTAATCACATGACACATATGGGCTGTGATTGGCCCAGTCTGTCCATGTGATCACTGTGACCAATCGCAGCTAACAGCACAGTTGTATACAATGGATGGCATGAAAGGAAGCGATCCATTGTTTACAATTGTCAAGTGACCTGCTGTGATTGGTCACATTGCATCAGCAACAGCCGGTACACAAATCAGTCATCGCCTGTGTCCTATAGACACAATCAGTGACAGATCTCGCTGCAGTGTGGCCCTGCAGTCGCACGCAAGGCAGCAATCCAGGAGAACATCACATGAAGCCCACCCGGAACAATGACAGTCTCAATTGGCCATCATTCTCCTACAGGGAACGGGTTAAAAAGCCACAGATGAGGGAAATAACCCTTTAATTGCCATTATAACCTGTGTGTGTCACCTTGTGTGTCTGTACCAGGGCCATTTGGGTGATTTCTGTTATCATAATGATTTAAAAAGGAGCCAAACAACCCTGTGATAATAAATGGCTACATATGATCATCATCCTTCAATAAGAGTTAACATGAGTGTTCATATTTTTAATATCAATGTCAAATTTCATGACTTCTGCAAGGGTATGCAAAGTTTTGAGCACAACTGTGTGTATATGTACTGTAAGGGACCGCCTGGCGGTACCTCTAGCACTCCACTGGTCAGGTGCTTCCAGAGCGCGGAGTCTAAGTCCCGGAGCACTTGTTCACCAGGGCCCCTGATGATGGGGATGGACTTGGAGTGCACCAAGACCAGGTCGCGACTACTGGGTACACTCACCAGTGGTAGGGGCTCCCGCAGGGTAAAAGCCTGATATGAGGGGGTCGGGTGATCCCGAGGGGATGGATGGATGGAGGGATGGATGGCTGAGCAGGTGCGGGGTCAAACGAGCCGAGTCAGGAGCCGTGGGGTCTGCGAGGTACAAAGCAGTGGGCAGAGAATAGTCGGGTCACATGCCAGGTCAGTAACAATAGATCAGATCCAACAGGGGCATCCAGGAGAGAGGTCAGGCAAGCCAAGGGTCATGGCAGGA